ATTCATGGGCAAACTTACCACCTGATTATTTTTTTTAATGTCGATACGATTGTAAAGATTGCGTGTGGAAGAATCCAAAGGACGGTTACAAAGAAGGTCAAAATGTGTCAGACGAAACTTGCCAAGCATTGTTTGGAAGCGACTCTTGTTGCTCTATTTCTAATCAATATAATTCTCTCTGTCAAGATGTGGATCAAACCTTGTGGGATTATCAAGATAGTGTCATTCTTTTTTGCTGTGGTAAGTGTGAGAGTTTGCAAAGTTGTAAAATTGTACATGCCACTTCATTTCTTGTTGAAAGGGAAATTCAGGAGGAATATCTTCGAAAGGAAATACTGAATCTCCTGCAACAGCAAAGAATGTAATCGCTGTGGGTGCAAGTTTGACCTCAAATTCTGCATTCGAGGAATCTGTGTATTATGAAGATTTTAAAAACAACATTCAAAATGCTAAATTACCATTCTCAACTCCTGACGAATGTTGTGCCTATACTGGAAAAAATCAAGAATTTGGTAAGTTTATCTTTTGTCTTCTTTTCAAATTTTTTTTGTAATGTATTAAATGGAATCGTTTGGAATTCTTTTTTTGGAACCTTATTGGAATAATCTCTTATTGTTTTGAATAAGAATAGTTCGAGCTGTCTGCTGTCCAAGTGCATGGAAGAACTTATACACGAGCAATCCATCCACCTTCAATGAGTTCAATTTGGCCTTTTGTAAGTATTCCTTTCATCCCCTTTCGATTTGAATCATCCTTTTGCTTGTCATAGTCTCTTCCAAAGGTCCAGCAGTGGGTAATAGTATCAAACCTGATGTGACAGGAATTAGTTACAATGTAGTGAGTGCTCATTCCGATGGAGACACGACCACTAATCAATGTGGAACCATTTCACCAGCCCTTGGAAATTCAGCTGCTTTAATGACCTCTATGGGTATGTAATTTTAGAACTATTGTGTTTGTTAAATATTTCAAATCACCATTCCCTATTGATACTCCATTCATTGAAAATATCAATTAAACCATTTTAAAATTATATTAATATTATGTCAATCCTAGGAACCTCCATGGCCACTCCATTGATTGCTGGAGCCGCTGCTTTATTGAGAGTTTTTCCAAACCAAAATGAACATTTCGAACCCTTCAGGCCCCTTATTAAAAGCTGCTCTTGTTCATAGCTCCATTCCCATGAGTGGAATTGTGGTCTCCAAAATTGGCAAATCAAACTCTCAGATTTAGGAAGTCCAAACTCTTACGAAGGTTTTGGAAGAGTTTATTTGGGAAGTTTGTTACAAAATCAAGATGGTACTCCATTGAACATTCTCGTGAAGGAACAATCCTTTAAAAGCATTTCAAATTCTCTCAAATTATGTTTCAAGAGAGTGAATGGAAACAACGCAATTCAAACTTCACCCATCTTTAAGGTCACTCTTGCATGGTATGATTATCCAGGAAGTGTTGCGGTTGTGCCTCAACTTTTGAGTGATTTGAACCTATTCATCAATACCTATGTGATCAACACTAATGTTTCAAAACTTTCAGTGATTGCTGGAAATTATGGAAACCAAGTGGACACGACGAATAATGTGGAAAGAATGGTGGAAGAATTACCCCATTCATCCTTGAAAGAGAGTTCTGTGTATGTGAGTGTGGCCGTCTATGTGACTTCAATCTTGAAAGCAAATCGACAACCTTTTGCTCTCTTAATCACCTATCCGAAAGAAATGTTTGAGGCAATGGATCCAACAAACCCTTCATGTCTCTATACCACTGATTTTCAACCCCTCCACCTCTTTCAGATGAAGCTATTGTTGGAATTGTGATTGGAGTATTGTTGACAATAGTGTTGGTTGTGGGTTTGACGGCAGTGATGTATTTGGTCGTTGTGAAACGATGTCGATCACAAAAAGTGCTGCTGCTGTTGCTGTTGGTCATGATGTAAATTCAGACTATTCTAGTGGAAGATAGATGTTGTAAAGAAGATCTCATTGGGGATAATCTTTTAACTCTTCAAGTGTGAGATAAAAACAGTTTGTTCTTTTCACGAAAAATGTGAGCTCAATGATTGACCATTAAAAGTTAGGATGTAAATGTAATTCATGTCACAGCACCGAGTCTTGTTTTTTTGAAACTCGTGAAAGTCTTGTCAATGCAAAAAGACAACACTTATTGTAATATTAACACTTGGATCATGAACGCAGAGATTCCAATCATCAATTCATCAATTCAAAAATGTCTAAAGAAGAAGAAGTGAGAATTGCTCTTGTTTCCTCACCAGAGGCATTTCAGAAAGTCATGTCGGTTCGGAGACAAGTCTTTGTGGAGGAGCAACACATTGATGCCTCTTCGGAATTTGATGAAAATGATTCAACGTTTTCCGAACAATTAAATTCATCCTTGTATCGGGATGATGTTCAACAAACAAATTCAATGATGAGATATTATCTGGCTGAATTGGTGCCAATTAATCATGATGGTCATGATGATGGTGGTGGTCATGATGATGAATCAAACTTGTCAAGAAGTTCATCAAAGATTGGAGGTACTTGTAGAGTCCGAAAGACAGGACCAAACGCTTGGAAGATGGAAAGGTTTGCCGTTCTCAAGGATTTACGTGGCTTTGGCATTGGTCGGAAATTATTGAGATTTGTGTTATTGGATTTGAGTACTAGGAATCAAGAACAACAACAACAAGAAAGCAAACCACCAAAAATCTACCTCCATGCACAACTGTCTGCTGTGCCATTCTATCAGAAATGCATTTTCCAAGAGGAGAGACTAAAAGGAAGATTTTTGATTGTGGGAGAGCCTTTCGAGGAAGCTTTTATCCCTCATTGCAAAATGGAATGGCAATGGGAATGAACAAAGGATCCATTGCCACTCTGAACCATCCATATGAACAAATGGATTTCAAAAAGTAATTCAATAGGACCCAATGCACACACCAATTCACACCAATATTGTTGAATGACAAGTCGCTTCTGATGTGTTTTACACACACAACTTGACATTTGAAATCCCATGTTCTCTTTAATCAACAACAAGAAAAATTTTTTCACAACTCTTTCGTCACGTCATCATCTCTGACGATCATAAAAATCTGATAACCCACTCTCTTTTGCTCTCTCGCTCGCTCTTCTTTGACTCTTATCAAGACATCGAATAACACTCGGCTCCTGTTGTACCTTCACAACAACAACATAATAATTTTTCATAATCAACAATAACACACCACCACCAATCTTGTACCATCATCTATCCCTTTCGATTTCATCATCATCATCATCATCATCAACTCATCATCATTTAAAAAATGTCTCAATTATCACCTGATGAAACTCTTCGTATTGTTCGTCATTTCCTTTTGAGCTCTCCTCCTGGACAATTCGAAGATGTATTGTATGATATCAGAGAATTGGTAGCCAATGATCAACTTTTAAACACTGGAGCCTTTGATATCTTCCGTACTTACAATGTTGAACAATTGATTCCTGTTGAAGTCCCTAATCAGACCTACAAGGTGATTTTGTCCAAGTACAATGAAATCACTCCACAGACTTATCTTGATCCAGTCTCTGATCAGGTTCTCACAGTGGATCATGTGAAGGGACAAGTTACCGGTGTTTCTCCTGCCTCGTCTGATATTCTCAACAACTCGTTGAAACAAAAGAAGGACAAACTTGTCAAGGCAATCCAAAAGTATGTGGATGACCACTACCTTTCCGGTATTTCCAGTGTTTTCCCATCACAAAGAGATGACCAAAAGGGTGAATTAATTATCTGTATTACAGCCAGCAAATTCAATGATAAGAACTTTTGGAGTGGTAGATGGAGAAGTGTCTATCGTGTGAGTTTTGCCGATGACAAGGTCAAGTGTCTGGCTCCATGAAAGTCAATTGTCACTACTATGAGAACGGTAATGTTCAATTGAACACTTCAAAGGAGCACGCAGAAACTGTGGATGGTGGTGATTCTTTTGCTGACAATATTGTCAAGATGTTGGTTAAGGCTGAAGGTAACTTCCAAACTCAAATTGATACCTCTTGTGCCAACTTGAACGAAACATTCAAGAGTTTGAGACGTCCATTGCCAATGACCAAGACTTTGTTTGATTTTGCCTCCTCTCAACACAAATTGGCACGTGAATTTGGTGGTAATTAAATTATTATGATCAAGATGAAATGACACAAACACATATATGCGAGCAAAAGAGTTCATTTTGCTCTACTTGTTATTATAAATTATTATTATTATTATTATTGAATTTTATTTCACATTGTCGAGGGATTGTGAGAATGCATTTCCATTCGAAAATGCAGAGTTTGCATTCTTTATCAAAAGCAATGATGTAAAAGGATTGCGTTATAGTTCAAGAATCATCAAATATGGGCAAGAAAGGATCCAAAAACAACAAAGCCAAGTTTGACATTCGAGTCCGTCCAATGGAAAGAGCTACCGAAAAGACTCTCTTCACACAAAATTGAGACAAGGTTGTCTCTTCTGATGAAGGCCGAGTAAGGAAGTGGATTGTGTGATTCAATGCGTATGGATGGAGCTACGTACCTCATCGTTTGCATTTCATGCATATCCAATCAGATTTCAAGTGTGTCACACAACGGTATATTTTCAAACCTTGAATCAGCAACAACCATTTGAATTAAACTCGAAGTGGTCAACTTCAATCATCTCCATATTTACACAATCGATGGTGGCAGATTGTTATTGAATGTATATTGAACTGCTGGCTGCTGCGACTCATGATTCACTCCCAATTGAATCGGTTGAACATTGCTCGTGGAGGGCATGACCACTCCAGGTTCTCTCATCACATAAGGTTGGTCCATCTGTGTTTGTTCATGCGTACCATGCATGGTGCTTCCGTCTTGTCTGAAATCTCTCACATTCGCATTCGGAGGCAATTTCATTTCTACCATTGTACCACTTCCTGAGATAGTGGTTGGCACTCGAATTGTTTCTGCATTCATAGCTCTCTCTAATTCCATTCTCTCTACTTCTGCTTGCTGTCGTTGTTCCATTCTTCGTCGAATCATTAGTTGATACCTCTTGATGAGTAAAATCAAAGACAAGACAAAGAGAACGACAGAAACAATGACCACATAGAGAGGCCATGAATAAAAGCCTTCCCAATTGATGGTGGTGGTACCTGTTTACTCATTCTCATGTTCACGTTTCAAATTCACAACCACATACACCACATACACAATGACAAAGGCAATTAAACATGTTAAGGAACACAGAGTGACGAGGATAGAGGCTACCAAGAATTGAGTGTTTTGTCGATGGAGAAGAGTATTGGAAGGATCCACTGTGTGGGTAGTTGTTGTGCTAGTTGTGGTGGTGATGATTCGGTTTGGAGTGGTAGCAGTCGTTGAGGGAACGACTCGGGATGTGGTTGCTGGTGAGGTGGGCATCAATGAGTTAGGGTGTGTTCTGGTATTCAAGGGAATGATCAAAATGATGATGATACATCAATGATGTAATGAATGAATGAGTGAAAATAGGATGGTTCCTAAAAAGCAATCAATATTGGCTACGATAAAGAGGGTAATAAATATTTGATTAATCCAAATCGAGTAATGAACAAACGGTGGAGGCCAAGAGGATCTATGAGGTTTGATTTGATTATTACTACTATTATTATGCAAGGATGATTCTTTTCAACACAACAATGGTGTTTTCGGAAACTACTAATGTTGATCAACAGAGATCGGAGGCTTGAGAATAATTATTATTTGGAGTAAACACCTAAAGAAGATGATGTGAATCACAAGACACAATTTTTTCTCTTCTAGAAGCGCACACGAAAAAGGGGTTGTTCAATCCCGATTGGAAAAGGACTTTTTCAAATCGATGCGATAAATGTGTTTTGTCGTTGAGACTTACTGTAAAGTGCTGCGAAAACCACAATGAGGGAACATGAATATCAGCTAAATGACAACCGTTTGGGTTAGATATATATTCTTCAGCGAGACATGTTGCAAGTTGCTGACCAGCATTGAAATCGCAGGATCTTTGGCCAATTTAGCAATTTTTCAAAAGAAAAAAAAACCCCAAAAATATTGATCCAACATCGCTTTGAGCAAAATCATCACATGGTCCGAACACAGAAAATCATGATGGTAGTGGAACAGAAGGATCGTTTATTTATTAGTGATGAAAATGTACAAATGATAATTCTTGATTTTTCAAATTCCTCTTCTTCTGTTGGTGAAAATTGTGGAGATAATCTTTCGAGATGGGAACTATTATTGAGAAAGAAATTCTCACTTCAACAAGAAGGAAAAAAAGAAATGGCTCGAAAATAGAGAATTGAAATATGAAAAGTTCTTCCCTGTAGAATTTATGAATGATAAAAATTTGTTTTGAATTATATAAAAAAGTATGGTTATGGATTAGAATATGCATCAAAACAATTAAGGAAAGATCGAGAATTTGTCTTGGAAGTGGTTCAACAAAAGGGAGATGCATTTCAATTTGCAAGTAAGGCCATTCGTAGTGATAAAGAGGTTGCATTAGAGGCCACAAGATACAGCCCAAAAGTTTGGAAATATGTTTCTTCAGAGCTTCAAAACGACAAGAAACTTGCATTAGAGATGATCCAACGGAATGGATTGGCTCTATATTACGCACCATATGAGCTTGAGATTGATAAAGAAATTGTTTTAACTGCTGTTAAGCAAAATGGTGAAGCATTGAAGTATGCGTATGATAATTTGAAATCAGATAAGGAAATTGCATTGGAAGCAGTCAAACAAAACAAGAGGGCACTTCGATTCGTACCCGATAATTTATTGTCAGATGATGAATTCATGTTGACAGTTCTCAAATTAATAGCTCCAGAATTTTCTTATTTAAATTCTTTTGATTATTCAAAAAAAGAAATCATGATAAAACTCGTTCAAGAAAATGGAATGTTACTTTCATTTGTAAGTGATGAGCTTAAGAAGGATCGAGATATTGTGTTGAATGCAGTCAAAAATAACGGCGGTTCCCTTGAATTTGCTTCTGATGAGTTGAGGAATGACAAAGAAATTGCACTACAAGCTGTTAAACAATTTATCTCTCTATTACGCTGTGCATTGTGTAATGTCTCTTCTGAATTGAGGAGAGACAAAGAAGTTGTGTTAAATGCTGTAACTCAAGACGGATTTTCACTTCAATATTCGTCAGATGAATTGAAGAATGACAAAGAGGTTGTATTAGCGGCTGTCAGACAATATGGGCCTGCTCTCAAATTTGCATCGAATGTATTGAAAAACGATCGAGAAGTAGTTTTGGAAGCAGTAAGAGAAAGTGGTTTTGCTCTCGATTTTGCGAGTGAAATGATGAAACGTGATCGAGAAATTGTTTTAGAAGCTATCAAGCAAACACCTTTGTCTGTGAATTATGTACCTCACGATCTATTGAACGACAAACAATTCTTGTTAGAAGTTGTTAAATATGAACGTCAGTATTTACTAGATTGTGCGCCAAAAGAAATTGCATTCGACAAAGAATTTTTATTACAAGCAATCATACTCAATTGTCTTTCCATTATATCACCTCGAAGTAATGATTATATTTTATCAGATAAGGAACTCATGTTAGAAGCTGTGAAGAATAATGGATATGCATTGAAGTATGCAATTGAAGAATTTCAGAACGATACAGAACTTGAAATATAAGCTCTCAAATGCAATGGTTTTGTATTGAAATATAGTGATGAACTTTATCAAGCAAGAATGCAAAATTGTTATTACGGAGCTTATTTGGGAAATGATTATTGAATGCAAGCAAAACGGTCTTTCACATGTAGTTCCTTCATTCAATACATATTCTTCCTTGTTTCAGCCCACTTCCTTATACAGAGTAAAGTCAGTCCATCAAGTTTTATAAATGTTTTCATCTTTGAAATAGAAAGCACAATAAAATCCTTCGTCGTTCTTTTCAGAAGATTGATTCCAAAAATTATTTGAATTGAAAAAAAAATTGTTGGGCCATCATCCTTGTTCGACAACATTCCACATCATCACCGTCAAGGAATAACAACCATGGTAACCCGAGCAGATAGACTCCGTAGGAAAAAAAAAAAAAAGAAGAACACTACCAAGGCGGTAGATACCATTGGTAAATTGAGAAAATTGAAAAAACACTTTCCCGAACTCACCCAACCTTTAAAGCCTAAACCTGGATTTACCAAACAACCCGAAGAGAGTTTTTCATCCATTACCAATGAAGAGGAATTGAGATTGGAGAGAGAACTTTCTGAAAATCCACTCTCCTATGATGCTCGGATGAAATTGAAGAGAGAAATTATGAAGAGAGAATTCCGTGATGATTTGAGTAAATTAATGAAAGAGGATGAGGCTAAATTTCAATTATCATTCACTCCGAAACCTACTGAATCATCAGTTAATAAGAAGAAGATGGAAAAGGATGAACAATCAACAACGAAAGGAGTGTCATCATCAACTGGATCCTCCGAAAGC